TAGAAGGCCAGATCTTGAAGAGGAAGCTCAAATATTTTGGCCAAGAAGGACTCCCTGGAGAAGAGCCTCATGCTGGGAACGATGGAGGGTAAAAGAAGAAGGGAACGGCAGAGAATGAGGTGGCTGGATGGAGTCACCGAAGCAGTCGGCGTGAGCTTAAATGTACTCCAGAGGATGGTAGAGGACAGGAAGGCCTGGAGGAACATTGTCCATGGGGTCACGATGAATTAGACACGACTTTGCAATTAACAACATTTTATTGCAATATAATTTCAAGTCTTCATGAGGCAGTGGAGGAATCATTTATAATTATTACTGATTATTAAAATTCATCCCACAACTTTTTCTTCTAAGTAAAATTTCCTCCACTATTAGTATATAAGAGAGTTTCAACACTTATAGACCTTGGCTTGGTCTGTCTTTTAAGCCCCTTCCCTCTCCTTCTCTGGGATTTCCTTCTATTGCCATTTTCTTCTTTATTAATGGGCAGCTAATAAACCACTGGCACCTTCCCAAGGTTGGCCTTAGTTGCCCTTCTTCTTCTCCCCGCTTCCCCCAGATCCTTCAATCTCTGTGAAGAAAATTCCTTCTTTTATTTGTCTACTTTTTATAGCTATGGCTCTTGCAAACCCACACTTCCCTCCTCCATCTGTTTCAAGGTTGCAGCTTTCATAAGCAATTTTGCAGTGCTGACACTGGGCCAAAAGGCTTAAATAGGAGGGGAGGAAAGCATTCCAGGTGCCTGCAATTTTCTCAGCAGCTTGTCCTTCCACACCCTGTTGTGATTGGGTAATGGGTTCCTGTGTCTTTACCCAAAGATAAACCACTTTTATCCAATTTGGGGTAATTTACAAAGGTTTGGGAACCACTGCCTTAGATGTTAATATGGAATGACAAACGTTATTGCATGTATTTAAAGGTATTTTTAAATTTATGACCTCTAAGGTCCCTTCCAACTCTTGTTATTCTGTATTCTGGTATAATATGCTCCAAAAACGTGGAACTTACAGCTACAAGAGAAACTATGGATTTACTAAAGGAAGATTGATCTTGAAAAGATGGAGCTACCCCAATTAGTTTTGGATGACAGATATTTTGTTTATGGGATAGCCTTTATAATCAATGGTGATGTGGTGGCTCAGTGGCTAATACGCTGAGCTTGTCGATCAGAAAGGTCAGCAGTTCGGCGGTTCAAATCCCTAGCGCCACATAACAGAGTGAGCTCCCATTACTTGTCCCAGCTTCTGCCAATCTAGCAGTTCAAAAGCATGTAAAATGCAAGTAGAAAAATAGGGACCAGCTTTGGTGGGAAAGGAACAGTGTTCCGTGCGCCTTCGGCATTGAGTCATGCCGGCTACATGACCATGGAGACGACTTCGGACATGAAACGGAGATGAGAACCACCCCCTAGAGTTGGGAATGACTA